TGTTGCTTTAACTTATTGTATATTCACCATCGTCTGAACACCTCCAATTCCTCATGCGTCTCTAATTGCTATTTTAACTTGCTTGATGCTGCCCCTCGTAGTCAATATGTTTGTAAAAACCAACACACTCTGTTTCGACTGCAGTTCTGCTCCACCACCGTTTTTGCTTATCTGGAAGAGTGACGCAACACTCCCTTCTGGGCCCGGCTGGCTGCCTGTGGAAATTGACGCTTGATGTTCCTCTCTGTCCGAACCCCTCAAAGTCATGCTGGAGGCTACGATGGCACTGAGGAGGTGCCTCCCCTGAAGGAAACCTTGCAGGAGAGGTAGGTTACATTCCCCAGGCAATGGCACTACCCAAATCACCCGTGTAATATGCATTTCTCAGCGAGTGGCTCAGAGTAAGTGTTCAATATGTAATGACAGGTAGTATTTCCTCACCCAAATCTGGCGAATGGCCAAGATGTTGTCATAATGCAGATGGACCGTTCCAGTTTAGTTAAGTTTCCTTAACGTGAGGGCTCCCCCGCTTCCCCCAAAGGCCTGCAGACCCACCCGGCCGCCACCCACTGCTGGTAGGTAGACAGTGTCCCACCTCTCTCCCACCCACCGCCCACCCAAGGGTTTATCTACATACTTGCTGGTCTGCCTCTGGTGCTGGATGACCATGTTTTTCTCGTGGATTGTCTCTAGTAGGGCCGTTGCCAGAGATTTCAGATCAGAAATGGACTGTGGAGTAGCTGGGAGACTGCACCCATGATCCTCAGACAACAGATCCTGAACTAGGTGGGATTAAAGTTTACAACTCAGTGTTAAGTCCTTCTGAAACGCTGGAATGCAAACCAATGTCCATTCTTCCTGGATAACAAAGCTGGGATACGTTCCCAGCTCCTAAATGCTACGATGTTGTACTGAAGAATCCCTATCAAGTGTCAAAAGTAAAACAAAACAAAATTCAGCATGAGGGGTAAACGGAAAGTAAAAGGAGGAAGTTCTCGTGGACTTTTACCAACAATGTTTTAAAAGGATAATAATAATCTTTTGTATTTGTCCAGTCTTTTGCCCTTTCAAAACATTTTCATACTAACTCATTTGAGGCTGAAAATTAAAAAAAAAAAAGAAAAAAAAACTCACCTGGGAAGTATTATGTATTCCCATTTCACAGACAGGAATGCAAGGTGGTAATGGGTTAAAAATATTAGCTAAAGGTCACACAGCCTCGCAAATGGTAATGAGTCTGGTCCTGAACTCCTCGCTTTGTGGCAAAGTTTCCTACGATGTGGTATGCTCGGTGGGTGGGAAGATCATATAGGGCATTACTTAAAATACAAAATATATTTTGTGCACGCATGTTTTTAGGAACTAAGAGTCACCACAAAAGAGATACCACTTGGACTTGCTTACCAGACAGAAACAAATAAATCTCACTGTCTACCTTTGAGCATCACTTCCTATATGCTTATATGCAGGTACACAAATTCATACATTTTTCTTTGAAAATGGGAAAAAGCTTTTCTTTTTGCACTTAAGCCTATTCCTCATCATTAATATTTTTTAAAACATAAAATAGAGCGGCTGCTTGGTAGCCCATATATAAAATATAGAGTAACTTCTTTAATTACTGTTGGACATTTATGTTATTTCCTATGTGGGTTTTTTTGGGGGGGTTGTTTTTATTTTAAGTAATGCAGGAAGAGCTTTCTTCAAGCAATAAGTTTTTCATACATCTGTCATTATTTCTTGCTGCTCAAAGGGGATGAGTTCAAGGCTTTTCGATATAGGTGGCCAAAGGGTGATCTAGAAAGGCCGTGCCAGGTTGACTGCTTGGCCATGGCTGGCATTCTTCACATCAGCACAAGGCTGGATCTCACCATTCAAATATGTTTGGCTGTCAGGGGTACCCAGGGCTAACCTCACATGAGCCACCCCATATTTCTGTGGAGTATTGTGGTTTTCTGTTTAAAAACAATTCTAGGGTTTCCTTTTTTCAGTCAAGTGGAAAAACAAAAGTTGCTTGGACAAGTGCCTTGGTTATTAGGTGGGCTGGAGATTCAGCACTTTTTTCTTTCTTTTTTTTTTTCCCCAGCCACTGTAGCTCTGATTAAGACTGCCGCCTGATTGTTCCGGTCTGCACGGCCGGCAGCCCGAGAGTGGGCCAGTCGAGCGTGTTCAACCTGAGGCTCACGTTGAGAACTGAATTCCCAAATATTAAGTGTCAGAAGCAAGCTCTCTGCTATTTATTCCCCTGGACTGTTCCTGGAAGATCATTATTTTTCATCAGAATCGACAAGGAGGAGGAACAAAATTGCAATCAATAAAAGCTTCTTTGAAAAAGGCACATGTTCCATGATAAAATGATTTCAGCAGCTATGACACTTTTCTATTCTGGTCACAGAGGCCAGGAAAAGGAGAAACTCGACGAGGCTGGAACATGTACTCAGTGTTGCTAAACTGGTGATGAGAGGGCAGGGGGAAGCATTCTTGAAAGAAGAGCCCAGTGGAGGGGAACAGATGCAAATGGGGTCCCGTCATTAGAAAAACATCTAATGTAGAGGTTCTCAAAGCAGGATCCCGGAACAGGCATCAGCATCACCTGGGAACACTTAAGAAATGCATATTCTCTGCACCGCCCCCCCTCCAGACCTACTAAACCAAAAACTCTGTGCGTGGAGGGGACAGTAATCTGTGATTTCACAAGCCTTCCAGGCAATGCTGATGCAGAGGTAGGTTTGGGAAGGCTGTTTTAAGAACCGCTTGGTTCCCAACCCATAAACTGAGATGTAGACCCACAGCCGCAGCACCAGATTGTCCTCAGAGGTCGACCCATACCTTGCTTTGCAGACAAGACTCCAGTTAGCGCACTGCTGCTGGATTTACTCTGGCCTTTTGAGTTTTTCCGTCTCTCGAGAGCATTCTAAAGCAGCATTAGGAAAAAATACAAATCTCTATCAAAAAAGCCAAATAATAGAAAAATACCTCCTTATAGTAGATGCATCCTCCCATCTGGCACGCAAGAACCCTGGCAAACTCCAGATGCGGACCCAACTTTTAAAATTCTGAGTCCCTGCCAAAGAGTTATGAAATGTATGGATCTGGTAAAGAGGTTTTTTTTTTGTTTTTTTTTTTTAAGTTGGTGCCCAGCAGAATGACAGTCATTACCTTCTCCTATATATAAAAGGCACTCCGTGCATATTTGTTAAATTAAATCAAATCTGAAGCAAGAATTCCATCTAATGTGTGAAGTCACTAGTTATGGAAACCCCTTCTGAACAGACATGAGATGGAGAACAGGTTTACTTCCATATACCAATGCCAAAAGATTGTTATTAGTATTTGGAAGGCTTCCGTGGCTGGGCTGGAAGAAGACACGGTCAAAGAATGACATCGGTCACGGACACAAGATTAGGAAGTGTGACTGTGAACCAGAGTGCCATTCTGACAACAGACCCTTACGTTAAAATTGATATGCACCGTCTAGCCAATGCTTAGCACGTAGAAGAACCGAATAAAGGCTGTTAAATGAATGCATACACACATTTTTTAAATGTATGTATTAATTATACAACTTTAAAAGCTGTATTCTTCTTTGGCTCCATGCGTATATATAGACTGACGTAAAGTGTGGCCCCCACCGCACGGAAGAGGACGAACAGTGTAGAGACTTCTGAGGAAAAAAGCTAACGTCAAAAGCCAGGAAAACGAGAAGGTTCTCCCAAGCATCGAGACTGCTGTAAAACTTCACCCTCAGGAAGAGAAATCAATCTATTTTCAAAGCAGAGAAGCCCAGGAGACGTTTCTAATTATAACGCTCACAACGAACATCTGCAGAAATAGATATTATCAAGCTAATGGTGCCGGAATTAGTCTAAACAACAGTGGGAGAATTTAAACATTCTGTCCTTTTAGTGTGACGTGAACATTGTCTCTCGGATCGTGATTTCCCAATCTCTGTTTCTTTCTCGCTCAGAAACCATTTTCTTAGGGATGATTATGCGACAAATAGCGTCTGATGGCAGCATATTGCACAGAAAAGCTGCGGAAAAAGAGCTAATTCTACGTGCACCGAGGCCGTAACGTGGCCGTGTCCAGATTCGGGTGGTCTCTGTGTGCCCTGTCCCAGTAACGGCAACAGAAGGGACTCTTGCAAGAGCTGTTTCTGTTGTGTTTGTCGTTTGGGGTATAATTCTTCCTGGTTACCTCAGTTAAAGCTCTTATTCTGTCTGGGAGGGGAGGCAAGTACTCAAACGTCTTTGGCACATAAAAGGGAATTAAAATAGAATGGCATTTAGATGCGCGATAATGAATCATCACTAGTGTCACCATGACTTTCTACCTTGTACTTGGCAATGTTTGATTTCAAGAGGTTGACCTCTTCATGAAGTTGCTTTAGTCTCTCTTGAAGGTACCTAGAAAAGAAAACATTCAACTAGGGAGTGTTTGGGGACAAGATAAAAAAAATACACTCAAGTAGGAGAGGGGAAAAAAAAGACAAGGACACATCCCAAGAGCCATCTTTTACATATAATGCCTTCTCACCACCAAAAGGAGGAGAAAAATGCATCTTTGTGACCTCTTCTTAAATGGATGCGATCAAGGTCAAATATGCCCAAATCACAGAAACCCCACTTTAGAACAGCCTTCTGCAGAGATCCCCTACGGGATATCAACACAGTTTCCACATAATTCTCATTAAGATGATTCCACTGGGAAGGCAGGCAGGAAGAGGCGACACAAGACATAACATGAAGTTAGACACACACACGCACACGCACAAACACACACACACACACGCGCGCGCGCGCGCGCGCACTGAAACTTGCCTCGGGGAAGAGAAACAGCTACGGGAATTTCTCAATTTATTTTCTTATTCGTTTGCCCCTCCTTGATAGCAATACCGAGCAGCTCTTGCTGGCTCCCTACCCCTCCTGCCCAACTGGGGAGTGGGGAGGGCAGGGGGAGAGAGAGGAGAGAGAGAAGGGGGTTCGTATGCAGGTATATAGGTATGTGGTGCTTCCTTTCTGACTTTCAGAACTCATCCATGACCCTGACGTCACCATTTTAGCGCTGAGACTTCCCTTCCATTGTAAGGCAATTCCCTCAAACGTCACTAGGGCTGCAGATGGCCCCCTGAGCACCTGCGGGGGCATGGCCACTTGCCTATTCTCCATGCAGAGGGCATCCACGTCGATGAGACGGTTCTCATGCCCACCCAGGATACGGTTTAGCTCCTGGTTGAGCCTCTCCACTTTGTCCTGGTAGGAAGACCGCTCCTCTTTCACATCCTGAAGCTCATCCACAGAGGCCTGTAGGTCATGCTCCAGAGACTCAATCTGAAACCAATAAAAGCTTAAGGGAAGGGACAGACTTCCTGCCCGACACTCATGATGTCTGAGATAGGATGAGTGCCACCTGGAAGCAGAACCCACCCCCTCCCAGCGGCAGCTCGCCCCCAAGCCGGAGGCTCGGAGAGGGCAAATCCAGACGCTGAGAAGGGCAGCCGGTGTCTTACACACGCATACTTTTTCAAGCTTCTCGAGACGCAGAAATCTTGTCCTGTTCTTCGAAACCAATGAGCAAAAGAAGGAAGGGAAGTCTAGGCTCTCTTCCTCGTTCCCTAAATAGGGCTCTGTACCCTTTGAGATTCTACCTAAAAAGCATCGCTCGGCATTTCAGCAAACTTGCAGATTAAGGTCAGGGGGTCACGTTTTGTCCTTGTCTATACTGAGTGTGTGTGTGTGTGGGGGGGGGTGCGTTTCTTTCGTTCAGAACAATGGCATCCAAAGTAGGAGGGCACACGTGCAGGAAGCCCGGACCCCAAGAGGGAGGCTTGGAACTCGCAGAGCACAGAGGAAGTGAAAGCATGCATTACACCCTCTTCCGCCTCTGACTAGCATCCCAGGCACGTCACCCTCTCTGAGGAACAGGGGACAGAGTCCGACCATACAAACACATCCCCCACTCATAACAGATGTTAGCAATAACCTGCTCCTTGGCTCTCTCCAGCTGCTGAACCAAGTCTTCACGCTCATGAGCTGCGAAGTGTCGCACGCCAATTTCTTCGTCTCCGAGCCTCTGTTTGGCAATTGTCATTCTCAAGAGCTGCATTTTCCATTGGTAGCAAAGGAAAGGAGAGAGAGAGAGAGAGAGAGAGAGGAGAGGGAGAGAGAGAGAGAGAGAGAATGGGTGTATGTGTGTTAAAATGAATAGATCCAAACAAATACTCAAGCATATTGGGCAGAGAATTTTGGAAGGTAAGACTTTTCAAGATATACTAAGGAAGGGCACAAAACAAAAAAACTTCTTGGGGCGCCTGGGTGGCGCAGTCGGTTAAGCGTCCGACTTCAGCCAGGTCACGATCTCGCGGTGCGTGAGTTCGAGCCCCGCGTCAGGCTCTGGGCTGATGGCTCGGAGCCTGGAGCCTGTTTCCGATTCTGTGTCTCCCTCTCTCTCTGTCCCTCCCCCGTTCATGCTCTGTCTCTCTCTGTCCCAAAAATAAATTAAAAAAAAAAAAAAAAGAAACTTCTTGACAGTATCATGAATTTAAAAAACCAAATATAATATATATTATACTTTGTACACACATGCATGTGCATGCATACACAGTATAAGTCTAACAGGAACACAGTCCTGGGCATTTGAAGGTGAATGTCCTTTACAGCACTGCCACAGTGAGGAAAAAACTCTGGGTCAGAGATCAAAGATTAAAAAATGGTAACACAAGGTTAAGAAGGGTCTGGTGAGTCGGGCATACTCCCATGCTCTGAACACTGAGGCTACATCATCAAGGGCCTTAAGAATGCCCCCACTAATGACCCAGTAACCCTGCTTCTGAAAACCTGGGCTAACAGCAATCCCAGACATGCTTTAGGAAAAGAGAAAAAGTAGATGGCACTGTCCTTCACAGAAAGAGCTAAAAAATGAGAAACAGAGTCTAACAAGAGTGGAATGGCTAGCAATCAATCAATGGGCTAGTTTGCAGCTGTTTGACACAAGGGTGATGAACTGTGTAATAACGCAGAACATGCTTATGATAGCATGCTAAGCGGGGAACCAAAAGCAGACGACTAACTTCCATTTGCAGCATAATTGAAATTACACTAAGAACCCAGGCACAAAGGAAAAAATGACCAAATACATCAACATTTTTAAATGTGCACGTTTAGGTAATGGTGAAGCTTGCATGGTCTCTGTTTGGATCTCTGTTTTCCAACTTTTCTTTTTTTTTTTTTAATTTTTTTTTTCAACGTTTATTTATTTTTGGGACAGAGAGAGACACAGCATGAACGGGGGAGGGGCAGAGAGAGAGGGAGACACAGAATCGGAAACAGGCTCCAGGCTCTGAGCCATCAGCCCAGAGCCCCGACGCGGGGCTCGAACTCACGGACCGCGAGATCGTGACCTGGCTGAAGTCGGACGCTTAACCGACTGCGCCACCCAGGCGCCCCTGTTTTCCAACTTTTCAAGTAAGCACACACAACTTTCATAACAAGCTTTTCTTTAAAAATCCCTATAGATAAAATTCCAGTCTTCAAAACGTCTTTTTCCAAAGGGTCCCTGGAGAATCTAGAGCTGCCCCAGGCTCTGGAACCTCACTACGCACAGCCGCAAACCTTCTGGTAGAGCCGCGATGGGAACTGTGACCCCAGGATGATCCCACGGTGCCAGAACATCCCTTAAGTGCCTATCTCAGTGCCAAACAGGTTGCCATTAGAGTGAATTTTTCAAGTTATGGCACTTCTTCCTGATGCTTCTTCTAAAAAGGTTGTAAGCCTGACTCCCCCACCTCCCTGTAGGGTGTGAGTGGGTGGGCTTCGTAGATGGATGCGATCCTGGAGACAGGTTTTCACAACCCAGCCATTAGGGTCTGCTTGGGGCATGCTCTTCCTTGTTCCAGCACGGATCTTAAGGGCTTCACTGCTGGTAAAGAAATGGATTTTCAAGTCTCTAAAGGATTTGGGGGCAGGTGAGAGATAGAAAGTTAAAAGTCAAGGTAGAATATTAACAAGACTGAAACAAGATATACCAGCAGTGAACGCTAAAAGTAATGATGCCCAAAGAAAAGCAAAGAGCATTTTCTTTTTTGTTTTTAATGTTTATTTATTTTTCAGAGAGAGAACATAAGCAGGGGAGGGGCAGAGAGAGAGGGAGACAGAGAATCCAAAGCAGGCTCTGCACTGTCAGTGCAAAGCCCAGCATGGGGCTTCAACCCATGAACCATGAGATCATGACCTGAGCCGAAGTCGGACGCTGAATCCACTGAGCCACCCAGGTGCCCCGCAAAGAGCATTTTCAGGTGACATCTGTTTGGGGTCCTTATTTGAAAACCACTCAATTGAATGTGACAGACATTTATTGTGCACCTACTACGAGCCAAAGCATCACTGATACTGAGCAGACAATGTTCCAGGAAGTCTGCACACAGAGCTGGCAGGGGACGTATGGCACGTAGGTATCCAGATGGCTGTGCTTAATGGAACCCGCTTCCGGTTGATCCTCATTACTGGAGGATTCTGTATTTGTGAATTTGCCTACTGCCAATGTGTTTGTAATCTCAAAATCAACATGCATGGTGCTTTTGCATCATGGGCAGACATGTGCAGAGAAGTACAGAGGTGCAAAAAGTGTGAATCATCCAACAGGCGCATTCCCAGTTGAGGTAGAACAAGGCAACGGGTGTTGCCTTATTTCAGTTCTGGTACCGTGAATAAATACCCCTTTCGTGGTCTATTTAGTGCCATGACTGTTCATCCTTTCGTGTTTTTTGTTGGTGTTTTGCTACGTAAAATACCTAGTGCTGAAGTGCTATCTAGTGTTCCTAGATAGGCTGTGAGGTGCCTTACAGAGCATACGTGTCGGGCATGAGTTACAGCACGACAGGCCCTGAGTTCAATGTCACAGAACCAACACTATAAATTAAATAAGGTGGCTTTAACCAGAATCACACATAAAGCAAAGTTAGGTGTTAATTGATAAAAACGTTGTGGCCAGAGGCTCCAAGGAACCTGGTCTTGGGCTTCTCCTAGGAGCGATGGTTCAGTATTTGCTAATTCACTGTGCGTAGAGAATTTAGAGAGCAGAACTACAGCAAATAATGAGAATCGTCTGTATTAGGGGAAGCAGGAGTTTATGGCAGAACTGGTTAACTCAGCTGAAAGCTGACACGTGAAACCATCTTTTACATCACACAGCTTCTCAGTTCAGAACTTTCGGAACCCCAAGAGGGCATACAGAAAGACAAACAGCTAACCAAATGAGAAACATTTCTCGGAGCAAAGGGTCTAGGAGCAAGAAGGCTTGTGCCTTTTTTTGACACGAGGCAACAGGCGGCCTTTGACCCGGCTTTGAACGGAGGGCACTTCTCTTGATCTGTGAAAAGCCAGACTGACAGCCTGAACTTTAAGTAATAAAACACTACGGTGGTTTTCCATTCGAAGTACGCTTCACTGAACACCTAATTTAGAACCACGCAATTATGTTTGCTTAATGCCAATTAATTATTAAACATGTTTATTGAGGTCTGACAGCCATATAAGAGAGTCATCTTTTATATGCCGGATGCCTGTTAAGCCTCAATAAATATGTTAACAATCATTTGGTGTTTAATATGCATACAATATTGTCTATTAAATTGCAGGGCTGGACTGGTTGAAACATTTGTTTTTTTTTTTAAAGTGAGGTCCAAACTGGTAATAGCTGGATCATTAGTTGGTCTGAAATTCAAGTGCAAGCAGCCCAAGTGCAAGTCAAGTCAAGTGCAAGTCAAGTCAAGTGCAAGGGGCCAAGGAGGGGGTTGCGACAGGGATGCCGAAGGCAGAGTTCACCCGCCTTCCAGGGCACCAGCCTCGCAGGCTCTGGAGCCTGTCTTGGCTGGGATCTGTGTCCTGGCTCCACAGTCTGCTAGCTGTGCAACCTTGGCACACGCCGGAACTTCCCTGGGCTGCAGTATCTTGCACTGAAACAACACAAGGGTAATGGTATAGCTTCCTTGGAGGGTTGCTGTGTGAGAAGGAATGGGGTTGCTCTAAGTGAACATTTCACTTAGGGGCTCAAGCATACGTGCTTGGCGAAAAGACGAGGGAAAGAAAAAAAAAAGAGGAGGAAGAGAGGGTGAGAGAGAGAGAAAGTTTTTTAAGTTGGGTGACTACCCACTTCCTGCGTTCAATGCCCCGGACAGAGGGGTGTGGGGGCGTGGCTGGTAACACATTCAGGCACGATCGCATTGTTCATACGAATGCATCATTCCGTGTTCGGGAACATAAATGCCATGTGCCCTGAACTTGATGGACAATTTCAGGGACCATCGTGGGGGCGGTGGGGTGGGGGGGGAACCTGTGGCTAGACACAAGTTTTTGCTGCTCACATGCTGACTTCAGAACGTAATCCTAAGAGAAGATGGGTTTCTCTGTGATCCTTAGCACAGCCCCCGGAACAACAGAAGTGTGCAAGAAGTGTTAGCTGCTATTACGATTATTGTTACGAGTGTCATCATTGTCGTCCTCCACGTGAGTTTCCCCCCACACTCGCCCGCTGCGGAAGTCCAATCTTTCCTTCAAGCTGGGGGAAGCAGGGCTCCAGGGCCAACCTTATCTGCAGACTGCAGGCGATGATGTTGATTTCCCACCTTGGAAATGGCTATTGCTACAACTGCTCCGGGCACTTAATTCCCCCAAACAGGGCGGGCAAAACTCCACGGCCAGCCTCCCTGCGCCAGCCCCAGAAGTGGATCATTGCCCCGCGAGGCACTTGCCTGCCACCAATGGATGTATTCATTTGCTGATTTAGATGGAAATAAACGTTTATGAATGAATTACGGGTGTGAGTCGTCAGCTTATGGACGAGGAACGGCTGCAGCTG